ATTCTCACAAACCCAAAATCTAAAAAACAAATAGCAGAGGATTTAGGGTTCAAGGGAAGAAGAATGAATAACAAATGTAGATGATTTGGGGTTCGAAAAAGAAGGAATCACAATGGGTAGAGGATTTAGGGTTCGAAGAGTAAGGAATCAAGAGTTGCAAAGGATTTAGGGGGTCGAAGAAGAAGGAATCAAGGGTTTGGAGAAGAAAGAATCAAGAGTTGTAGAGGATTGAGGGGTCAAAGAAGAAGGAATCAAGGGTTCGGAGATTGATCTGAAAGCATCGTCGATTGCTTTCTTGTTTTCTGGAAAAGGGTTTCGAAGAAGAAAGGGGAAAGGGAAAGTGAGAGTGAATCTAGAAGGAGGTCTGTTCTGCATCGACAAACGGAGACAATGTGGCCCATTCTTTTATTGTTTTATTTTATTTAGAAGGGTGGAGATTGCCATGTCATCAATTGGGTGAGGTGTATTGTCCACATAAGCTTGCAAAAATTGAAAGAGTAATTGGTGGAGACTTAACGTGCCAAGTAAGCAGTTCCGTGACGGAAGGATTATTTGAGTTCTGGAAAAATAAAGTTTAAGGACAATTTGGGTCCTTTATGAAGTTAAAGGATGAACTAAGTTCCAAAAAGAAAGTTTAGGGACCAAATTTGGGTATTAAACCTAAAAAAAATTGTGAACCAATTTGACAAAATCTTGTCTCCCTCCACCTCAAACCTTCCCCTCTGCAACAATCATTCTCCTTCCTTAGATTTGTAAAAAAACCCAAAATTTTTATATTGAAAACTTCAATTTTCCAACCATTCAAGTAATTAATGAAAAATTCAAGATCTAAAAACAAATTGCTCACGCAGGCAACCATGCCCAACCATTCAAGTAATTAATGGAATATGAGCCGCTCGTCCTGCGCCGTCTTGTGCCACAACTTGCTCACGCAGGCAACCATGTCCAGCGTCCTTGCGTCCACATGCTTCAACACCTCGAACAACAGATTCTCGTCTAAATTCAGAAACCCAGTTTCTTCACCTCGAACATGGGGGAGTAGTAGTGCCACGAGTGCGTCCAAGATGGACAAGGTGAGCGAGGTTGCTGAAATGCCAGATCTGGGTTTGAGAAAAACCTAGATCTGGGCTTGAGAGAAGAAGAAGAAGGGAGAAGAGAGAGAAAGAAAGAATAAGAAGAAGAAAGAAGAAGGATGATGAGGGAGGAGGAAAGAAGGAAGAAGATGAAGCTTAAGAAAGAACCCAGATCTGGTTTGTAGAGGTAAGGGAAAAGGAAAGGTAAAGGAGAGATAAAGTGAAAGAGGAAGAAGAAATAACATGAATAAAAAAAAATTATTATTTTAAAATTTAATAAAAATGCCAACTAATGCCAACTCATAGGTCAACTATGGTATTTTTTTCCATGTCATTAGTTAAGCAAAAAAAAAAAAAAATGATTTGCTGGTAAGTTAACGTGACACCTGTTATTTAATTGACGGAAGAACTATTTTGGTACTAAAAATGAAAGTTCATGGATAATTTTGGTACTTTTTAAAGGTGAGGGATAATTTTGGTATCAAAGTGTAAAGTTGAGGGACCAAAATGGTACTTAAACCTAAAATATTTAATGAGACTTTTACAATTTTGAGCAAGTTGATTAAGGAAGGATTTATTTCTTCTCAACATGAAGAAATATTTAAAGATAATATAATACATTGATGTCTCTAGAACTTATTTTAATTTTACATCTTGAGAGGGAAAACCTAATGGTAAATAATATATGTTTTTTCATTTGCAATTTATAATGTTTTGATATCTTTTGAATTTGTTTTCATTGTACATTTTATAAAAGAAATCATGGAGATCACTAATATGCTTTTTTAAGTTCTACAGTGTGAATCTCAGAATTGTTAGAATTAAATGCCATGTTTAATGAAAATGCAATGGAAATACATATAGATTTTTTTAAGGCAGCAATGGAACTATTGATTTTTGGTGGTGCATTAGATCTCAAAGATTGTGTAAGAGTTTTAATATTGATAAATATTTGTACACTTGTAAAAAACTATTATCATTAAGGATTTTTTAGAGATGAAGAAAAAATGGAAACAAGTTGTGATTAAGGTTTTCAAAATTTGTTATTCTTTTTTTAGCTATGTCAATTGTTAGTGTAGCATTTACAAGTTGATTATTTTAATGCTTACTCTTACATTTTTCATGTCAATAACAAAAAGAGCATTTTTTGCTATAAAGATTGTGAAAACAAGGCTTCATTAAAATTGAGGATAAATTTCTTTCAATCTCTTTAATTGTTTATATTGAAAAGAAAATTGTTAAGACATTTAATGTAAACTCTATTATAGATAACTTTTGTGTTGTGAAGATGTTTTGAATATTAGTTTAAATTATGATGTAAAAGAAAGTTTTTAAGAATATCATGTATTATTTTGCGCTAGAAAATCTAATCCACTAGCCAAATTTCCTAGCTTTACCATTGACTTTTGGTGTAATTATTTCGATGAATATTTACAAACTGCTCTATTTATAAATATCACGCAAATATGTATCCATAAATGGCTTGCATGACTCATTAGAATTGTTTGCAGCTAAATGGTAATAAAGAGATTCAAACATTTCATTTTAATAAAATTTTCTTTTCTTACCAATTGCGCCAACCCAATGATTATATTAATGATATCTTCTATTAAAATTTGTTTAGTGATTCACGAATTGATTTGTATTAATTCTATAACTAGCTAGAAAAATTTACTAGACAAGTAATAATAAATATTAATGTAGATATATGATCACTTACGGGAAAAGTGAAGGTAGAGAGACCTTGAACAGTAATAGAAGTATAGTTAGCCTGAGGCACAGCTATGTGAAGCATGCATGTCAGAGATTGCCACTGGTTTAGACTTAGAGAATCTCCCACAAACATCAACCTCTTCCCTTGAATCCTCTCCAAAAAGTTTTTTCCATCAAACCTACAATTTCATTAATACAACTTTCATTTTAAAGTTACTAACATTTATAAACAAAAATATATATAGAAAATATATCACAATTATAGCATTCAATTGCAACTTGCTATTCTATTTATTAAGAAAAAGAAAAAGTGAAACTACATTTTTTTTTTTTACACAAGATATATAAGACTACAAAGTTTGAATTACAATTGAAATAAATCATTACAAAAACTATGAACTAATTAACATAAATACATTAAAATGCAAACAAATTTAATGATAAGTAAAAAGGAAAAAAAAGAGTTTGATATTATTCAATTGGATTCCCCGTCCCACTTGGAAACTCTTATCTATGAGTACAATCAATTTTGCTCCAAATCGTATAAGCCAAATGTGCAAATCGCCGTCCAATATTTTTGTGTTAAAGTAAATTGTCACCAAAAAAAAAAAGAGTTAAAGAAAATTGCCACATCAAAATTACATTTTCAAAAAATCAATGTAAATTTAATAATTGTTATTAAAATCCATTAATCTATTACTCTTGAAGTTTAACAAAAAATTAATGATAACCATTGAATTTAGGCTGATTTTTTTAAAATGAAAATTTGGGACAGTAGATTGTGATTTTTAATGTTTGGTTTTTCCATATAAAAATCTTTAATATCATTTTACTTTTCATGCGGATTTGATTTGATTATTTGTGTTTGGTTGAGACTATTAGGGGATTAATCTTGGGCATTAGTTCTTTAATCCCCAACATCTAATGCCATGTTATGTAAAGTGGTCTATATTTTCTCAAAAGGGTGGCTCGACATTAGAACTAAACCTTGAAACCAAGTTCTAATACCTTCTACACTGAACTGGTGAAATCCATTTCAAATCAGTTTTAAAGCTAGCGAATTGGCAGGAAAATGCCTACCAACCAATGCTGGTTTGAAAAACGCCTAGTTAAACTCTCGAAGTCCAAAGCGTCATATTTAGAAATATTTTCCAATTAAGTAAATCATGAAGGACTACTAAACAATCTAATAGAGAATTATCTCATCCCCTTTAATAAATACAACACTTAAGTAGCAAAAAGTTTTAAAACCAAGGATATAAACTTTTCAATTTGGGATGCTAGGATGAGACTAAAGAAAAAGACTCAAAGCTCTCTGAAGAAGGGAAAGTCGAAAAATGGAGAAGACCAATTAAGAAATAATAGCTACACCTTCAAAGGTCTTATGTTTGACATATTGATTCATATATACCCCATTAACATCTCTTCAGCACATATTTTAATGTAAATAAAAGATAAGTTGGATATAAAAAGGCCTAGACTTGAGAGATCTCTATAATGGGTCAAAAAGACTCTTCCCAATACTATGAGTTTCATGGAGACACTACAAATGAATAAGACGAACTTAAATCTCTAATCCAAAGGGTCGTGATCAATGAAAATGTTCATAGAAACAATGACATCAAGTATCGAGAAGGATTTGTTTGAACACAAGTAAGCAAACAAAATTAAGAGAAAAATACTAATAGAGAATGACAATCAAAACCAAAATAAGCCAAACGTAGAAGGGGTTAGATATAATACTCTGCCACCAGTACTCCTTTTAGAGAGAATGATACACATGATGACCAAAGGGTGATATCCAAAGTAGTGCTGATGAAGAGACCAAATGGGAAGTAGTGACTATGCATAGTCTTCATCGTTCTTAATAGAGCATGTCTAAAAGATTATGTTTCAATCTTGATCATCAACAAGCTAGATAAAGATGCCTTTGTTCATGCAAGAATGAGTTATTACCATGTAAAGCTAAACCTAAAAGATAAAAGAGAAGACCTTGTTCTCTGCTGGTGATAAGATCTAGGCTATATTATGATAATTTTCAAATAGAAGAAAGTTGGGGCAATTAATAAATAGGTAGTGTCGTGCAACTTTAAACTTCAAATTAGGCAAAATGTTAAAATATAAGTAGATGACATGATCATTTGGAGTAGGAAAGCTAAGAACCACCTCGTAGACCTTTCAAAACCTTTAACATTGTTTTCTAGATATGAAATGAAGTTGAAACTCAACAAATACACTAAGCCATTAACCGAAAAAATTTTGTTACTATAGTTACTTTAGTATCTGTAGTGAAGATGTCAGCTTAATACTATTGGAAAAGGATTTAAAATAAACAAATTTATTATAATTAAATTAATTTTAATTGACGTTTGGGACCCTCAAAACTAGAACTTCGAAGCTCATAAAATGGGAGGTTCCGTGGCTATAAGTGGAAAGACCTTCAAAGGAACCATGATTAGTTAGACCACCTCGGGGTTGAAATGAAACAAACAAAATTTTCAAGAGCATTTCTCGCAATGACGCCACAATAAATAGCTTTGGGACAAGCTCAAGTCACATGAATTTTTGATAAGCTAATGAGTTCGACCAAGTACTAGGTCAAAATCATTAAATTCATGAAATCAACTAGTTAAGTTGCTCACTCTTTGGAGCTTCATGAAAAAGTTGCTTTGAACAAGCTCTTCAAGTGTCTAAAAGTTTTTAATCGACTTTTTTGTTGCTTTGCTCTTCAGAGGCACATAAAAGAGCTTTTCAATTTTTGAACAAGCTCTTTAGGTGTCCACTCTTCAAAAATAACATGACAAAGCTTTTCATAGTACTCTTTGAACTCAGCGAACAAAGCCTATAAGCATTCAATCAACTTTCTCATTTCTTTCAAGCTATTTGGTCTTTGAAGCTTTTTGGCTCCTAAATTGCTTCTTGAAGCTTTTCACACGCTAGAAGCTTTCAACAAGGTTATTTAACTATCAAAGCGATTTCATAAGAAACATCTAGTTTTCGACTCATGAGACACTCCAATCACACCCAAGAATGTCCCCAAAAACTAAATCTTAAAGTCCTCATAGTCATGATGGGAATGGACTAAGGCATCTCCAATTTTAGCGACACTCTAATCGGGCAAGTAGCATCACCACTAAAGTGATAGTTTGACTGACGAAATACTTGGTGATTTCCAGGATGCCTTCTAATCACTAGAGGAGGAAAAACTAAACTGCCCTGACACATGGCCTAACACATTACAAAATGGTCAACACGAAGAGTTTGCTGAACCAATAAAGACTTTAATCGAGTTGGTACCCATTAACATAAAAATCTTAATTTAAAGTTAAGGTAAGAGACTTTAACTCCTATACTATCAGGCAACTAACTTTTCTAATGTATCAGAAAAAAAAAAAAAAAAATGGAGTTTGCCGAACAAATGATGAATGGCAAAGCTACTCGACCCAAGGCCCCACCTTTCCACATAAGGCGAACTTAACCTTGCTCTTAGAGCAAATTCCCCTGCAAATGATAACGGCCCATGGAGGTCCATTACCATTACCCCACATTGGATCTAGAAAGACTAATTAATCACAGGATGACGAAGTGTCACAAATCTATTAATACCCTTTAATTATTATTTAATTTGTAATTTTCTTTCTAACTCTAAATTTTGCCTCAGATTATTTAGAAAGTTAGCTATGGTACCCATAGTAACTTTAGCGTCGAAGACGTATCCCCCAAGATCCACCTTCAAGTCTTTGGTTTAAGGGGTTCACCAAAAGTCTGCATGCTCAGTTTTGTGCATTTACAAAAAGTCTTATCTACTTTTGTGCTAATTGAGTCCAGAAAAGTTGAACCAAAAAGTTTAAGGGGGTGTTTGTTAACTGTTGGAAAAATTGAATTAATTAACGGTGTTTGGGTACTTTCAGTACACAAAATGCACTTTTCGATACATTTCTGCTGTAGGAATGTATAAAACCAAAGAAGCCCAATTATTAAAGGATACAAAATAAAATTGAAACTTTTTCTACAATCATTGAGAAAATTAAAATCGATAATCGTTGATGTGAGAGCCTAACGAATTATACAAGGGATTCTTATGTAGGGCACCTCATGCCATATCGTGTACGCAATATTTTTCTTTCTTAATTAATTATGATTGATGCAAACTTGTACTTAAGATAATTATATAAATCGGTACAACTACTTCATATGGTCCAGATTCCTTTTAAAAAAATGGAATTAGGTAAGGCTATATCTTTGTTTTTTAACTAAGGAAGAATATTGGTGATACTTTTTACGCTAAATTTTTGGTTGGTTGGTTGATATTCTTATGGGAAAAATATAAAAACATATTTTCATGTAAATTAATTATTAAAATTAATTTAGTTTTTGTAGCTTACTCGGTGTAAGATAATATTTTTTTCATTTTCTTTTCGTTAAAAAATTATATTCCTTTATTTATGCAACTTGGAGGGTTCCAAACTTGAATTGAAGGACCACCAAATAATATTGCCAATTGCCATTATGTTGTGAGATAATGACGAGGAGTAGTCCAGAGGAACAGAAGGTCGATGTTGATGGAAAAGGCCAAACTTGCATCAATATATTATTCGTGTAGGACAGACTTGACAAGAGAAGTTTGATCAAGTCTTAAATAATAATAGAAAGAGGTGACAGTTTTGCAATCCGCTTCATGTATGAATTGTATATTTTATAATTATTGGTAAAAAAATTATTTAAATATTAAGAGATATATCTCTTATCAATAATAATAAGATGTGTAATTTATGTAAGGTAACTTATAAATTACTTTTTTTTAATAGAACTATATAAAAAAATTTAATTGCTTCATTAGTAATGTAATCTTTTTCATTTTTTATTTTTATTTAAAAAAATTTAAGTTGGTTGCTTTGGAATCTCTTAACTCGAAAGTAAGCTTTTCTAAGTTAACAGAGGCTGATTCAATCAAGCTTAAATATGATGAGATATTTATCAAGTAATTGATGATATCATATTAGTGTAATCCATATTTGTATGGATATATTTACTTTTTTAAAAAATAATAATAAAAACAAATATGTGGTTCGGTGGATAAAAAAAATAAGAGAGGGTTAATTAGATTCCTTTGTGGGAACTTAAAGTATATAATAATAAAATAAAGAATAAAAATTTCTTCTATTAATTAACTGAGTGTGCTAAACTGCTAATTTGAATGAAATATTACTTTTGCTTTTGCATTCACCGTCCAATTGTTCCCACAATGAAAAACATACTTCTTCTGTTTACTTGTGATGGTAACAGCACTTTTATTGTCTAAACAAAATACAAGTCTAAGACTATAAATATTAAACTTTTTTTTTTTTAATTTTTGGGGAGTAACACTGAAGAGGTACTTCAAACGTATATGAAAAAGAAAATGGCCAAAAAAATATTAAATAATAATAATAATGGTGTTCTAGGAAATTAATGGATAGGAAAATAAATTGAGTTGAAATTAAACAAAAATGTATATAAGATGAATGGGATTATAGAAGTACAAGAAAAGAGAGTAAATTTGAAGGGTACCTTGGTAAGTTGCATGCGGTGGGCTGCCACCTATATTTGAGATAGTCTCTGTCTGCTCTACCATTTTTCTGGCAATCGAACTCCCTCTCTATGAAGGGACAATTTGGTGTTTCATAGAGAGGGTATGATTCATCATAGACCCAACTTCCTTGAAAGAGATCACAGCTACCATTTGTAGATGTGCTTTTAATTATATCCAACTCACCTACATTTTCTCCATGCATCTGGTGCAGAAGCGAAAGCACCAGAAGTAGTGCTGCAAAAGTTGGAACGGTACCCATGAGATAAGAGAGAGAGATCAGACAGAGAGAGAGACGTTCCAGATGGTTAGGAGAAAAAGTGTGTTTAAATGTATACAAGGCGACAGAGGCTTGGATGTTTTATATTTGGGTAAAGTCTAACTTAGTCCTCAATCTTTTCAATTTAAGATACTTTCATCCCTTATTTATCTTCATGCAATCCTTAACCTCCTCTACAATTATATATGCTTTTTTTTTTTTTTTGATACTAATCCTTCGATATCCAAAAGTTACATTGGTTTCTAATTGATTCAAAGTCAAGTTATATCAAACTCCAGTCATATCAAACTCCATAAAGAAGGAAACTCTCTCAGTACCTGTTTTTTTATTTATAAGACTCAAATTCAAAATCTTACTTAAAAGGAATTCAAAATCTTACTTAAAAGGAATTCAATTCTTTCGACTCAAATTAACATATTATTGGTTACAACTATATATGCCTATGATCCTTTTGTCAAATTGCTTTAATTACTCCTTCAATTTTCTCTCTTTGTGAGGGTTAGACCTAGCAAACGGGCGGGTTGGGTCGGGTTCGGGTCAACTCGGGTGACGAGTTATGTGGATTGAGTTATAAATGGGTTGCGGGTTGAAAAAGTCTAACCCTAACCCGACCCTAATGAGTTACGGGTTAACCCGCAAGTTGACCTTATTTTCATTTTTTGTAATTATTTTTTATTAATTTTATTATATACAAATAAAATTATATAAATCTAAATCTGTAACTGCACCAAATCGGAAGTCCTTCTTCAGTCCGTATCTGCACTCTAGATTGACCTGCAAAGCCCCGAGGTGGATCCTCGGGGTAGACACTCCGATGCTTAAGTCAGCAATAATCGGGGTTACCTTTGAAGCGGAAAAACAAGGAGCTTAGGGTTGGTTTCAATTACCTTTTGGCATGGCCCTTAAGAGGTATTTATATGTTCCGATGCGGAATCCACGCGGCATGCCAATCAAGATGCCAAGCAAGATA